CCCGGCAACGGCGCCATTTGACGAAGCTAGAATATAGCGGTAAGTCAACAAATAACCGAGTTAGACTCGGGTCGTTCTCTTCAGGAGTGACGAAGGGAATAGTTAGTTTTATTATTTATCACAGGTAAATTTATAGTTTAAGAAACGTGAAATAATAAGAAATAAAGCGTCTAAAATAAATGATAAAATAAATTGAGGAGTTAAGATCGGAATGCAGACTTAACACAATTTAACTCATCTTTTATTAACAATTGGACTAATGAACTTTGTAGCACTTATATTTAATATATCTCCATTTTCCAGGTCTCAATATTAAATATAAGACTATTATATTTCCAGTACATCTCCAATTTTTCAGGTCTCAGTACTGTGTTAGAAAATGTTTGGCTTAAATAATTCTAAATCCTCATAGACAAGGCAAGAACTATTTTCCAATTACTTAATTAATAAAATGTTTAACATTATTAATTAGTTGAAATCATTCCAAACGGTTATTTCTAACACTGCCTATTTCTAGGTGTTCGGAACGTGTGGCTTAACTAATCTTTTTACTTCATAGACAAAGTAAAAGATTAATTTCCAAGGATTAATTAATAATAAAAACAATTTTATTAATTAATAAAGATTATCTCATTTTCTAACAATTAATCCAATTACTAATAAATAGATGAAATTAAATTGATTAAATCTTAATTCTGAATCTTAACCCATTTTAAATTACCAATTCATAATATCAAACAAAACATTCATCATCATTAAAATCTTCAAAACATATCAATCATCAACAAAGTAAAATTTTATTGATAAAAAGTTCAATAAAGATTACAATAAAAAGTAGAGTAAAACTTACAGTGCTTCAAAAACTTGAGAATTAACTTAAGATGATGAAATTGAACCACACAATTTTAATACAATATTTAGAAATAAAAGTGAAGATTTTTTTTTGCCCCAAAAAGGGGAAAAACCGAAGGAAGCTTGGAAAAAGGGGAGGTATGGCGCTGCAATTTATAGAGGGTGAGATTCGGCCAGCGAGCAGACTGGCGGCCGCCAGCCAGCTCGCCGGCACCGCTGGAATTTTCCAGAATTTGTGTTCGCCGCTAGCCGCCGTCGACAGGCGGGCAGACAGGCGGTCGCCTGTCAGCCCGCCAGCGCTCCTCCTCGCTGCCTACTGAGTTTTTCGCCGTCACCGCCTTTTGCCTGGCGGCCAGGCAGGCTGCCGCCAGCCAGGTCGCCTGTCAGGCCGCCAAAATCCGCCAATGCTACCTTGCTCAAAATTTCGTTCCGAACATTTTTTCCTTCTGTACCGACTTCTAATTCCGCACCGTTTGTGAGATAGAGTTGTTTTTCTATTAAAATTTACTCTTTTTACTCTATTCTTGGCCCAATTTTATACTCCCTCCGTCCCCCATAGATCTTCCCATTTGCCCTTTTTATTTGTCCCACATAGATCTTCTCATTACCTTTTTTAATAATTAAAATACCACAACTACCCCAACTTACTTTATTTATTACACCTTTTTCACTTTATTTAATACACCCACCCATTTTCATTAAGGGTATTTTGGTAAACTTTCACCTTTTTTCAACTCTCCTAAAAAACCGTGAAAAATCAAATTGAGAACATCTTACATGGACGGAGGGAGTATATTATTTCAAAGACATTCTTTTTATGATCAAATCATCAAAACACATGTTTTTGATACAAAAGAATAAATAATTTATTGTTTTGATAATAAAAATGGTACAAGAACAAATTAAATATGAGTAAAAACATAAGTACAAAACGGACTTATCAGGGGTGAATAGAGTTGTTTTCAAGAATGTGCGTTTTTCGCATGTTTGAAATAATAAAATCGCAGGAATAAATAAAGAGAGTAAGGGAAAGAAGAACACCGAGATTTATACTGGTTCACCACCTCGTGGCTAGTCCAGTCCTCCGAGAGACTCTCTCGAAAGTCCTACTAATCTTCAAGCTTCAACGGGTGCTTGAAAAACCTGTACAACTTGAGAACTTGAATCACACAAGCCTCACTTTCTTACAACAACAAAGACTTGAGTCACACAAGTCTTAAGAACAACACTCAAATGAGATTGAGTTTACAACACAAAAATGAAAGCTCACACAATTGAGCAAAGTAGTGTTTAAGAATTAAAGCTCTATGGATGACAACTTCTTTAGCACTCAAAGAAAATATTTCTAACTCTCAAAAATAAATATTTTGATGAGAAAGATGGAAGCAAGAATTGAATATTGATCAATGAAGATATTAGAGTGCAAGAAATGATGTTTAATGAAGGAGGATGAGTTTTTTTATAGGGGAAAAGAAATAAATCCGTTGGAAGTAGGGATGCCTAATTCGTCACATAAGGCGTCAAAGCCATCTTGATCGAATTCTCCCCCATGATCACTTCTAATGGATGAAATGTGACAATCTTTTTCATTTTGAACCAATTTGATAAATTTCTTAAAAACATTAAGTGCATCATACTTATGAGCAAGAAAAAGTGTCCATGT